GGGCTGCTGTTGGCTTGGGTTTAGGGTTTAGGGTTTAGGGTTTAGGGTTTAGGGTTTAGGGTTTAGGGTTTAGGGTTTAGGGTTTAGGGTTTAGGGTTTAGGGTTTAGGGTTTAGGGTTTAGGGTTTGGCTTGGGTTGAAACTTTCGGAGTTTCTTGCGTTGGGCTTTCGGGGGTTAGGTTGCCGGGTATCGGGTTCACGGTTCCATTTCGGAGAGACTTTCCGGTGCTTCCAGAAGGTACCTGGCCGACGAATGTCCAGAATGGCTCTATCTAAACCCTACCCATAGGCCCTAAAGTAGTTCCTTTTGGGGTTCATATATAGAATCCTATAAGGTAACCCCAAAAAGGAACTACTATGGGGCCTACGGGTAACCCCCATCGGGGGCAGATGAGATTATTCGAAGCCCCCGAAGACCTCGTCAGGATCCGGGACGTAGTCGAGGCAGACCTGGCGCCGTCTGAGGCTGCTAAGGGGCTTTGCGGGGAGCTTTTTGAGTGCTTTATGAATTCTATCCCTAAGGGTCCATGTACCCAAATAGTAGAACATTGGCCCCAAAGTACCTATATAGGGATTACATTAAGGCCTATGTTCTAGCATTTGGGTACATGGACCCTTAGGGTATGGGTTTACCGGTATTTAGGGGAATTCTATGTACGAGTAGACCCTTAAATGCAGCACCTTTTGTTGGATGACTTGTTTTGTGGTGAGGATCCTAAAATAAGAAACTTAGGTAACGAACAAAAGGTACCATGCTTAAGAGTCTAGGTACAGCACGGGGTTGAGACAGCACTTTCAAAGGCTTGGGGCTTTAGGGCTTTCAAGCTCGAAGGGTCCAAGGATTCTCACAGGCCCTCGTGTTTCATCTTCGGAAAACTACCGTCGGCTCCTCGGCTTGAGCCCCCGCGCGTTTAGGGTTTCATCTATAGCAAGCAAACCTGGGGGGGGGTCAGGGCTTGAAGTGTCGAGTGTAGGTAAAATGTCCGTCTGCTTGCTATATGCAAAAAACCCTAAACCCTAAACCCCAAACCCTAAACCCTCCACCCCAAAGCCTAAAGCCTAAACCCCAAAACCCCAAACCCCAAACCCTAGACACACCAACAAGCAGGGCTCTTGAGCCAGTCTCCGAAGTCCAAAGACCAAGACCCTCAAGCCACTGGGCTTTAAAAATACCCTAACCCCCCCAGGTACCTACTATATAGGGTACTGGAGCCCCCTATAGGGCCCTATATAGTAGGGACCTGGGGGGTTAGGGATACAGGGGCTCAAAATCCTTTGTGGGCCATACCGCCAAGTAAATCTGAAGCCCACCCTAAACCCGAAAGCCTAAACCCTAAGCCCTAAACCCTAAAGCCCTAATCCCTAAACTCGAAAGCCTAAACCCTAACCCCCCCCCCCCAAAGCGGTGCCTTGCCCAGCTTCCCCGCCCTCCAGAGGTCCAAGAAAAAGGTGGCACCCGAACCGACCTGCGCCGTATACACCTGGCATTGTATGTAGTGTCTAGGCTTCCAGGTTGATGGGTTTAGGGGGGGGTTCTTCTGAGATTGCTCACGATTTTGCCGGCTTTGAGGTGTGAAGTGTGCCGGTGTTGTTGCTAGGCACTTATATCCAACATCTGGATTGCAGCTAGCGCTTCGGCAGCGGTAGCAGGGGTGCCGGCTTTGCCTTTTGCTTCGGGACACATGCTGAATTGAACTGTATACTGAAAGAAGCAAACGGCTTTCGGTCGAAGAGTACAGGAGAGACGGGGCACATTGCTTTGAGGTGTTGAAAAAACCAAATTTGCAGTGTGCAGGTCGTAGTCTTCAATTGAGGAGGCTTTACCAGTACCTTCCGAGGCCTCCTCCAAATTATAAGGCTTGGGCACTGCCATCTCTTCCGGCGTGCGTATGAATGGCTGGTTGCTATTCCCTGCACTTGGTGCCTCAGTGCAGTTCCTTGCTGCCCACGTTCACACTTTCGAAACCCTCCGCAGGCAACTGAGGGAAGCACGAGCAGACTGTGAATTTTGACTCCACCGCCCTGTCTCTTGTCTTCTTGTTCGAGGCGAGTGCGGAGTAGGTCTCCGATTGCCAAACGCCCTTGGGGTGGAGCTGCTCCAGAATGGGGCTGTCGTCCTGGTAGGTGTCAACCCGCACGATATCCCCTCAGCACGGCTGCACCCACTGGAAGGAAGGAAGGAAGGAAGGAAGGAAGGAAGGAAGGAAGGAAGGAACAAAGAGACTGGGCTTCCTCACCATAGGAGGGGAAGAAGTCCGAAAAGTGCTGGCTGCCGTGGTGTCATGGCAGCGGGAGCCAATGGGCAGTTCAACAACAGCTCTAGCGCACCTGGAGGTCCACAGCGTGCGCCTGGATGTGCTCCACCAGATTGAAGATGGTGTTTCCACGACTGGGTAGTCTACCCAGTTGTGGAAACATCCAGGTGCACGCCGTGGACCTGAAGGTGCGCTAGAGCTACTAGAGGATCCCATGTTGCCCCCTACTTTGACCTCACAAACTACTACAGTATCGGCAGCTCGCTTTCAGCATCGCATCAAGCACGCTGAAAGCGAGCCGGCCCAGCTCCGACGAACTCGCGACACGGGTCACGCAGGAAGTTCTCTGGCTGCGTGCGACCCACGTGCGAAGCCGAGTCTGGCATAGTCGTCTGCAAGCAACTCGGCAAGTGCACCGACCCTGAAGGGAACAAAACTCGAAGCCGTGGCTCGCAGGCTCTGGATGGAGCTCAAAGCTTAGCTACTGTAATGCCGTTTGCTGTGGTATCCACCGGAAGTTCTGGTCTGGTCATGGAAGGAGCAAGCAGTGCTTGCAGGACAGGACATAGTCCCAGTACAACTGCAGACAAAAGTGGCGCAGGCAGACACACCGCCTTTAGGCGGTGTCTGGCTGCGCCACCTTTGCGTGCAGTTGCACTGGGACTATGTCATTGGGTGGACTGGTGCTTGTAGAGCCCTGATACAGCGGTTTCGCTCAGTGAAGCCTGCTCAATGGCCGCCAGCAGCGAGCCCACTGCAAGCCTTCATCTTCGGGCTGCAGGCTGACTTGACGCAGTGCAAGCTGGAGCTTTGTCGTTGGTGCACTGGTTCATGCAGTGCTCCCGGGAGCAGCCCAGCAACTGGGCCATGCAGGATGCGCAGGAGAGGGGCCGCAACTGTTGAGGGCGGCGTCAAAGCTCCTCTTGCCGCCGCTCTTCCAAATGTGCATGTCTGCGGCACCGGTGCAGCCGCCACCCTCGAGCTCAGCCTCCTCTACCTGCGTGGACTCCTCCTCGTGCTCCTCCAAAGCCTTCAGGTAGTGGACCTTGATGCCCCGCAGCTGGTTGAGCTCCAAGCTGCAGTCCTGCCCGGCTTCGCAGATGTCATCCGACGCCAAAGCTGAGGCCACGTCCTCTGCGAAGGCAGCCGCAAAGCTCAGGAACGCGAACAAAGCTCGGACGGCCATGGTTGGCAAGCGACTGAAATCAAGAAGCGCTTCGCGCCTACTTTGAGAGCAAAGTCAGGCTTGAGCCAACATGGGCTACCCGCCTTCTCCCTCTCTGTCTCTGCCGCTTGACATCAGCCATGCGCAAGGATCGAGGTTCGTGAACATGAATCTATAGAAGCTCCTGTCACCAGGAACAACATGTAGTTGGGGCTGGAATGCCTACCGATCCTGACCGAGTCGGCAGACTGGTGCTGAAGGCTTGCAGGATGCAACTCCTGTGCTGCTCAGGTTCAGCTCAGCACAAATCTAAGAAGCAATTCTGGCGGCGGAACTGATCCATACTATGGCTTCTAGATGATTAGGCGTCGGTGCGCCTGATTGGTGTTCCGATGCGCCAGCAGTGCCTGAGCAGTTCATCGTTCTGTCAATCTGCGCTCCGAAGCCTTCTAAACCCTAGACCCGGCACATCGAACATACCTATAGTCTCCATTGTAGTTCCTTTTTTTGGTTTAACCAATTATATATTAAGGATTCTATAAGGTATCCCGAGAAAGGAACTACAATGGAGACTATAGGTAGGTACATAGTCCAAAGATGTTGTCTACCTGTTAAACAGTTCCACGTTTAGCGTGGCATGAAACTCAAAAGGCAGCGAATGCAGCAATTCCTAAAACCTTACAAACCCCAAATCCTCAGAATCACAAACCCTGACCATAACCCTCATCCCAGTGGCGGAGATGTGCGCGCAAAGGTAGCGGATGTCGTTGGTGGGGCCGGGGAGCTCCAGTTCCCGCACATAATCCATGATGTAGTCCCTGTTCCTGGGTTTGGGTTTTGGGGATAGGGTTTAGGGTTTAGGGCTTAGGGTTTAGGGTTTAGGGTTTATAGGGTTGGCCAGAAAGGGCAACGAGGGAATTCTTATAGGGTTTCCCCACTGCACAAGCTTTCTGCCTGGGGTTCTGGAAACTTGGGGGGGGGTGCAGAATGGATGGATGGATGGCCTTCAAATGCTAACGAACCTTCTTTGCGGGTTTCCATATCTCCTCAAGTTCCCAAATGTACCGTACCAGTCTCAAATCTCCAGCTAAGCTGAAGTAGTAACAGAAAAGGGCTTCAGGGTTTAGTTGTCCCAGTCAGGGTCCAGTCCCCCAGGACACCCAGTACGACCACTCCTACGATTCATCTGCAGATCAGAAGAAAGAGACTATATTTAATTCGGGCTAGACAATGTCAAGAATAGACGATGAAGGAGAATGCCAGCCAAGGTTCAAGCGGTAGAGCAGGTAGTCTGCCAGGTACGCCTCTCCAGCTATGTGATCGGGCATGCACTTCCTTGGTTCTGAGGCACTCGTTGGGCAAACGGCCGAAGCTTCTATGATCGGATGCCAAAAGACTAACTCCCAAACAAAAAGACCCAGCTTCAGGACGCCGAGCTTGGCATTGCGTTCTGGGTCGTTGCGCCTCTTCAGCCTCTGCTGCTCTTGCAAGGTCGGCGAAAAGCCGAGGCTTCCCATGCTTCTACTGACTGCTGTGATGCTATATGGCTACTGCTACTGCTGACCTTGAACGATACAGTAACTGGCGCCTCAAAAACAACAAGACCTGCTGAAGAGCCGGGTGGCAGAGAGACTCCTGGGGTGTCGTAGCCTGTCTTCCACCAAGCAAAAGGATGGAGAAATGCCCAAACTGGCTTTGGGGGCTTAGGGCTTAGAGCTGTAGGGCTTACGTCCAGAAAGTTCTGAAACGTTGCACCCAAAATCTGCTGACCAAGCCAGCAGCAATAGAGCCGTGGATGGTTGCTGAGCTGAAAGAAGGACACCTGACTTGCTGAGTTTCCTCTGAGATACAGCAACCACCATCCTGCCAACCCCTTAATTACCTGAACATTCCTCAAAGGGCTTGGGGCCGGGGGATGTTGGGGGTTTCAGGATGTGAGGTTAAAGGTACCCCAATTAAACCCTAAACCCTAAACCCTACTCCCTAAACCCTAAACCCTAAACCCTAAACCCTAAACCCTACTCAAGAAGCACAAAAGAGATCTACTGGCTGCCCAAGGCACATCCCTTGTCAAGCCTGGGACGTTGCTCATCTTAGGCTCCGTCCACTTGACCTTTGAAAAGGTCGGAGTCTCTTGCGGTTCAGGGTCCTATAGGACTTGGAGTCTGAGATTTTGGGATTTAGTGGGGTTCGGGTTTTTTTGTAGGATCTCAGACCCTAACCCCCCAGGTACCTACTATGTAGGGCGTTAGGGGCTCTAGTACCCTGTATAGTAGGTACCTGGGGGGTTAGGGAGAGGTGTGTTTGGGGTTTGGGGTGTGGCGTTTGTTGGATCCGCAGTGCCGCAAACTAGGAGCAGCCCTTTGCTCGAGCTCCCCGAAAGCTTAGGGGTTTAAGGTTTAGGGTT